ACAGATTTTACATGGACTTAACCAAGGTGTGAATCCTGGTCTCCAGAATGTAAAAGCGGGCGATTAACAACCTGAGATGTGGCACGGCCGTAACAAATGCTGTGCGGGAATGAATTGCTTTTTGACTGGATTGCTTCGTTCTATCTCAGAAACGAGTCTCACGATATCTGTTTAAACAGCTGATTTGTAAGAAATGCTGCTACCTAAATGCAGGTTTATTAAGCTTTTAAGTTAGTTTTTAAGTTTTGATTTTAATTGTTCAATTTTCGTCGTTCACTCGTGAATAACAAGTGCAAGTAAGTCGATTTACATTAATTAATCAAAAATGTTTTTTCTTCTTGGCATCTTCGTTCGAGTGGTTTGAGTACCGATTGTCATGTTTATTTACGTAAAGTATGTTAGGTTCATGTTACACATAAGATCTTACCAACTACCGACTATGGCATTATGTTTATAATTGTATACAGGAGAAAGGCAGCCATAAAGAATGTTATTGCGGGCATAAAAAATTGTTGACCGCAAACAAGAAACTCTTGAGCACCGTTTAGGTCCTTCGGATAATTCCAGATTAACTGATGACCATTGGTTATTTTGAGAAGCTAAAATTTTTTGTTGTCAGATTTTTCTCTGCCGAATAAAATTCTGTGTATTATTTAAAATACCTTTGTAGGATTCCAAACTTATCTTGTTTTAGAGATCATTTCAATGTTAAACACAAAAGACAGTTAAAATACGATCGACAATGATAGTTTGACATTCGGAACTTTGTTTTTTTCGCAATAGACGCTTCAATAGTCATCATCCCGCTTCACAATTGGATGTTTGTTTCATACGTTGTTTGTACAAAATATAGGAAGCAGACACTTCCTAGATACTTTCGTAGTGCCAACGATCTGTAAACCTTTCCACTTTCAATTAAACTAAACTGCAATTACCCGTAAAGACGCATGATCGATTGGATACAAAATGAAAAGAAGTTTATATTTTATGCTATAAAATGGTCTTAATGGTTACTAATTAATTCCCTTCATGTCTAAGATTCAGCACGTAATTAAAAACAGTTTGTACAAAACTGATAATGTTTAAAAAGTTCACAGTCTTTAATGCATCTTTCATCTTTTACATTAGCCTGTACCAGCTAAGAATTAGTGTTTTACTCAGTTTATGATGAAACGTCTCCCTGTGTGTGTGTGTATCCTTATCCAATTTATAATCCAGGAAAATGATGGTTATTTTCTGAGTTGTTGCGGCGTGTAATTTGGTAGGAATTTACCGACGTTTCAGAGGTGCTTGCTGCATTTATTATCAGGTTACACTCAATATCCCAGTGATGGAGGCTGTAAGCACTTCTGGAACGCCTGTAAACTTCTACTATAATACACAGATCTTTCTTGCGTTACTATTTTTCATCGCCCATTTTTGACGCTGAGGGAAAATTATCTCGGAGATGAGCGAAACAAAAGTGTTACAGAAAATAAAAGAATAGTTGGAGAAAAATCACTTCAGCTCGTGACTCAACGCGCGGTTCTTGCTGCTTCACTGAGATTTTATCAATCCTGTGTGGGCTACTTCAGCGTGCCGCGGCGTGGTATAACAAAGAATTTTTAAAGACTTACAAATCTCCTTTATTATCTTGCATTTAGATCAGAATTTTCTGTGATGCTAGCTGCATTTCAGATAGACCACTTTTTATTTTCCGGAATGTCCGTTGTTAGATGGCCCTCATTGGAACGGTATAAAAACATTTCTCCAACAATGTATTTACATTACCTTTTTATCTAATGTGATTATTTCCTTAAATTAATTGATGGACTCTGCTACATCAATACACACGCACGCGTTAACTTTTCGGGGTTGATTTATGAAGTGCCGAATGTCTCAGACCACTAATTATCCAGTTCACACGTCGTCAGGAGACTGGAAATTGTACAGGCCAGGAGAGTGAGAAAATATTCTTCCTTTGCCTTAAACAGACTTAAAATACAGGTTGGGCCAAAAGTCCTTCAACAGATTAATTATTTGAAACTTTAGTTCGCTTTAATAATATTTAAATATCCAGTTCTTACCTCAAAGAAAACACAGCCTATTATCATTACAAAGATCATCTGGTTTAATGATGTATAGGGAAATGACTGTTGGTCACACTGAGTTTTATATGAAACTGATAAATACATTTTGTGGGCAAAACGAAAAATTATTGGTCCTTTGAGCAGGTGGTATATGGTCTAAAGGGTTAAAGACATACCGGTAATTAAAAATGACAGAAACGACAAAAATATGATTTATCTTGATTAGATAAGCAGACACATTAGTTTATTTTTGTAAGTGCGTCTGATAACACAAATAGAATTTGTATGCCGTCTCTTTAAACGTTCATTTCATTTAATAAATTTAGGTCCACTCTGTGAAATTACACAGACGTCTTCAGTTACAAGTCGACGACTTGTTAGTTCTACCTGTCACGTGGCTTCTGAAGACAGACTCAAAAAAGAACTGGTTTTGGAGAAAGCGTTGATATGTTTTAATACAACTGGCGACGGGATCGCATGATGACATGAAGCAGTAGCGATACATGTATCGACAGATATTAGCTATGAGCTATTTAGTAGTGTTTGAAGATTTGCAACCGAATGACGTGGTTGAACAATTCCTATTCGGAAGTCCTGGGTCAGATTCTCAGCCTCTATATCTTAATCGTGGTATTTTGTGTTGGTAAAATGCACCACACAAAGATGGCGGCTAATTTTCGTCGCTTAAGAGCATCTACAGCCACGTTATCTTAGCCAATCAGCTTCATTCATACACTCAATCGTACAGAAGTGTTTTACGAGTTATATGAGAGACGTTTTTGCGGCATATAGTGTGAATATCTTGTTAACGCGAAGCAAACTGTTGGTATTCAGCATTAGATTTTTAATTTTTGTATTAAACAATGAAATGTGAGCATCGCAAGCATCAGGTTCTACACAGGCAGGTCGGAGAAATGGTGTATAAAGTATTCAGCTACTTGAAGCGTAAAGCAGGCGCAATTTCTCTCTCTGCGCCACTCGCCTTTGTTCATGTCAGTCACTTTTTTAGACACTATGTAAAGGCAACCACGACCGGATTCTCTCTTTTTCTTACAGTCAAACTTTGGTAGTGTTTTCAGTCAGGAGAACGTCGTTAAATAAAGGATATCAATACTCATATTCTGTACAGTCTGGTATAAATGTATCTGGAATATGCTGAAGGTAGTAATCAAATAACAGATACAGTAATTGAGCAATCGAGATATTTAACATGTATTTACGTAAACTTATTAATTATTTAAATATTTAAGATTCTTCACAGACGACAGTGTTTTTCTTCATACAATTCAACTCTTATGTTTCACCACATTATTAGCTTACCTTTTCAGAAGATTTGTTCATACGAATTGTTTTTTGTGCTGATAGGAAAAGATGTCCTTTTGTACTACTGTATATTTTATAACGGTTATGAATGTTTGCTATAAATTTCCTGCTTGCTCTAATGCTGGTCTAGATTCAAAGGGCTCTGTTATTCTGAAGGACCATTGACATTCCCTTTCTATCTTGCCATATCACTACCGTATACGGTTATATGCAGATATTATTCCACAATAGTATAGTTAATTTTTTTATGTTTAAGTGATTAAATCGATTTTCTTGCACGAATTATTCAAATAATGTAATTCAATAAAACAGGAATACTTTCTATTCAGTGATGAAGCCTATAAACTATTTTGTATTGTGATCTTCTCGGTTTTGACGCCGTGTAGTCATGATTTATTTATAGGTCTCCCAAACTGTCTCTTCCCTTACAGGTTATTCGAAGTAAACTTTGTATGCATGTCTCTTTTCTGTATGTATATTATGTGTCCCGTTCATCTCACGCCCTTTAATCTAGCCACTCGAATAATTAATGTGAAGAGGACGCTATGAGACAACAAAATTATTCTAATTATTTGGGTAATTAACATCGATGTTTTGACTTCACGCAATACTTCCCAGATACACTATCTGAACTTTGGCCCGTGTACGCTCTGTCGACTTTGTACAGGTACGAGGCTCCATTCACCTATACCAAATAGATTAGCGAAAAATTGGAATTTCTAAGTGCATCGTCTTATATTTCCTCCTAATTTGAAAATACCAAAGAACTGTTATAAGATGAAAGTAAATGATTTTCATTTAAATGAAGTTCCCATCAGATTTCTTTTGTTGTATCACATTTAGCAAAAATCTAGTTAACTAACTCTCTTGTACTTCTGGTTGTCAGTTTTGGTCGGTTGACCATGCGAAAAGGTGTGAAAACAGGTGACAACCGATTAGGCGACAAACCTTCACCGCGTCGTCTAATTACTATCCATAGTAATTAAACACCGGGTCACCGGCCGCGCCACCTCACATGCTGAGGAAGCAGCCAAACCATAACGATCGCGTGTGACGCTGGAGACACCGTAAAACATGCGCTTAATTAAAAGATGCCGTGGGAAATTCATGGGTACAATTTACTACAGGATTAAGGGAAAGGCAAAACACAGCCGTTTGAAGAGTTCGACGAACGTGACAGAATAAAACAACGGAGAACGTTCGAAATGTCATTTGCGATTATCTTCACAATACGTGAAGGAAGTTCTCCTGCAGTGAAGTGAGGAACTTTCATCTTCTGAAGGAATACGCATTATAATCTCATGTACAGTAGACGCAAAATAACGCAGAAAATGAGCTACGTCACTGAAAGAGGGGAAGGGAAGATGGCAAAGAGCCATGCAGCATAACCGAAAGCATCTTTTCCCTTTTAATTTCTACACAGGCCATAAAACACTAGCGACGCAGCCACACGCCTTAACCCTCGCGTGTTGCTTCTACAGCCTAAACGTAATAATTTCACATTCGATAGGAAGGGGTAGTTTAGGTTATATTAGTGGTGAGTTGGCTCTCAGTTTTATCTGAGTATGAGGTTTCCTCTACAACGTTCGTGCTTCTTTCTTGTTTCAGACACACAGTGATCAGATGCCGTTCCGTTGCGAATTCTGCAGCCGACTCTTCAAGCACAAGAGGAGTAGGGACCGCCATATTAAACTGCACACGGGCGACAAGAAATACAGGTGTACGCACTGCGAGGCCGCTTTTTCCAGGAGGTGAGATCCCAGAAACACTTCTGTCTCCTTTTCCTCGTCTGAAGTGGCTTGTGTGTACTTAATTAACAAATACGAAGCGGGCAAAGCAAATGAGTCACACCAGTTCCAATTTGTATCACTAGAGGGTTCCAGAGACACTTGTCAGGCGTTAGGGAAAGTTTCTAAATTAGTAAAATTAGAGTGAGAATGTGTACTGGTACTCTGATTGGGGTATTTACCATGCGATCTTTCTCGATATAGCGAGTCTCATTTATGTCAATGTTCATTTACTGCAGATACATGATTACTGCTCCACAGCTAATCTCATGTAGTCACAGCTGTGCATGTTGAAATATTTACCGTATCAAAATATATTGAATACAAGAGGCTAAATCTGAATGCGTATATCTATAGTTATTACCAGTTTATCCATGTTTAGAAAAAGGGGCAAAGTTCGGTTTGCTCATGTAAAGTTAGACAGAGACTAAAATTAAATTTTCTTAATACAAAATTTGACTCTTTAAAGGAAAGTCGTAATTATATGTACCACCCCGAAAACCGGTAACACGTTCAAGATGATGACCGGATATTTCTGTTACAAATTACAGCCTTCCGCTGCAAAAAGAATGCGAATCAGGGATTATGTTACATTAACAATGGCATATTCGTATTTCTTGCTGTTCGACTCTTGTGTCATTAACTGTTTTTACAAGAGTATTCAGGTAGTTGTACCTAGTTTGAAAACACACATCTACTCTCATGTGGGTCTGAAGGATAAATGTATGAGTGCAAGAAAGAGAATGACAGAGTTACTAAAACGTAACTTGATAGTAGTCGTATTCTACCGTTTCAGAATAGTGTCACCCAAGAAACAGGCAGCCTTTCCTGCATTAATGTCATTCACAAATGTCACTCTTATGTAACATATCATTTACTTTGAGATCCCTTATTTTTTTCTGGCACGTTTTGTTAAATATTCTCAGTTTTGAAATACCTGGAACAGATTCAACCTGCATGACGGTAGTCTGATGAAATGGGATTCTCTCAGAGCAAGAAATAAACAGAATCTTAATAAAATTAGCGAATATAGCTAAACGTATCGAACATCACAAATTGTTGATTAGTTCTCGTGCTTTACAAGTCCGAGGCTCAAATACCGAAATATTATCTTCATTGGTCATGGCTGCCTTTTTTCTTATCGTTTATTTAAGAAATCATCCGATTACTTCATAGTACAAAACACGGGCCGGTAAAAAATGTCTTTAAATTACCAGGAGTTAATAAATAATTATCTTGACGTAACGTAATTGTTTCGAAACATAACCTCAAATGATGAATGGTTGACAAAATATCTTTAAATAAGTCGAGAAACAAACAAAAAGGAAAAATCAATGTAAAAATTTGAAGAAACCTACAAGAACACTGTATTTAATATACATAAAACTAAGTCCCTTACTGGAAGACAAGGTAGAAAATTAAATTGATCATCGGCTGAACGGCTGAAGCGTCAGCTACGCAAGCTCAGAGGATAAGAGCCATCCCCAAGTAAATGGGATCCCGTCAAGCATTCCAGTTGTCAAATCTAATTGACATTGCAGATAGGATCTCCTTCTGTTGATGACCGGTCGATGACTGTCAGACGGTAGTTGTAATCGAATATCGGATGATGGACTATGTAATACGATACATTCCTAGACAGATTGTTAGTGAAAACGTTCTTTCTGCAGAAGCAGTACCTAGGTGTACCTGTCCCTAAACTTCTATGTAAAAATGTTCTCTGATATTAGGTATGTGGGACTTCTTTCTAAGCGAAATCAGACTGTTAAATGGACATTGGAATTACTTTTCTAGTTTCTTCTAACCACGAATTTAAAATTTCCTAGTCTTTCATCGTAGATGTCGCTAGGCAAGTATGTACGGTTTAATGCATAAAGCAATCTGCACATATCTGCTACTTAAAACTTTACCATCTTATGGTATTATAGCTATAAGTAATGTAGATTATGTGTTATGTTACAGCATTACACTTTTAGAACTTGAATTTATGGGTAATTAAAAATAATTTAGACTTTCCTTTCTTGTAGTATATTAGTTTTTTTATGTGTCAGTTAAAAGATTAGAGTGACCTTTTATTATTTATTTTATGAATTCATAACTGATGCATTTAGAAGGCTGATGTATCACACACGTGCTTGTTAAAGATGTATGATATAAATAAATTTTATTTTTGTAAATTTTATTAAAGATAGGTGAACAATGCACGGGTTGCTTGCTCTGACCTGTACCGGCTTCGTAGCCTAGTATTTTTCTATCTCTACGTCATTTTAAAGCCACCTTATTATGTGTATCACCGTATTTAACAGTCAGTAAATCTACATATTGTATTTATGGGTTTTGTATTATTCTCATAATAAACAGCTATTATTTCTTTAAACAGAATTAACAATTTAATCTTTGTAATGGTGAAAATTTGTGTTTCCTTTAGGCACAGACTGAATTCTTAAATATTATTTAGGCGATCTTCGATTTCAAGGGATTAATGTTTAATTTAAATATTACTCTGTAACACGTTTTCACATTTCAATATAGTTAGAGACATGAGTTTATTTCAAATGGAATGACTGGAAATATTACCAGACTGAGAAAAATAGCCTCAGACTTTACTAGAAACAATTAATTAATAGCATGAACATCATAAGTACAGCGTTTTCTTCTTTTTCAGATATTATATATGTAACGTTTATAAGAGGGTGGTAAGGTAAGACTTAGGGAGCGTTATATTTCAAGTTTGTTGAACCTTCAACCACTGGACTTTGCAGTCCCGGTGTTTTTTTAACTGAGTAAAAGTCTTAGAGGTAACTGTGCGCTACCGGTCGGATGGATCACATATACCTTGCGATGTAAAGTTGACGAACAGCCTCATTCATCAGATGGGTTACACGTTTACTGCCTGTTTTTATAGCTTAGTCGTTTCCTGTTCCATGACAGTTTTAACTGTTGCGCGAGACTAACCTCAGCCTGCCATTTCTCTGAAGCAAAGTTCATGGATTGGATTGATGCGTCATGATCCAGTTCTATCGGTACATGGAAGCTATGGCAGTGCGATTTATTAACCCGAGTTGTACTTGGAACTGTTTATTATATTCCCCCTTCCCGATGTCTTTGAGTTGATCAAACAGAACTGCACTTGTACGTAGAATCCAACGCGCATGTGTAATTGTAACAAAACAACTGAAAGGCTGCATGAGATCGAGTTCCAACGAGACTTCCGTATATCGACTAGGGTCCGTGTCAGTAATTGACGATAAAATCGTTCAGTTCGCATACTGCAGAATTTTGAAGTGTGTATTGCAAAATTATCAAAGTTTTATTGCATTTAACCCTTAATACTGTTAATCTGAATTTGGAATGCCGTAATTTGTTTGTAAATTTCAATGTTAACTTACCAATAAATATTAAAATTGTGGTAAGTTATAAATGATTAGCTTATAATTTTAAAGAAATTATAGAAGACATTTCTCTATCGTACATCGTAGATAGTCAAAATGTGGTCGATATGTCTCGTTTAGCATAGAAATGGTTAATAGAACTTTAACATTTTACCAACAAGTAAAATGTGTTAAGATATTCTGTTTTTAAGAAGTAATCGCTGTTTATTCTGAAAATCGTATGAAACAAATAGATACATTGCAGGCAAAACACAGTTCTTGAATGGTAAAACCTGTGGTACATATTCTTACCATTTTTACTTAAAGGGCTGAAAAACAGCGGCCATGTAAGTGCATGCCATGGCACAACATCGCAACAAATTGTGCAAATGGAGTTTGTCCCATCAGTGCAGCGACCCTACCCAGCGGGTGAGGTAGGGCGATGACGTCTGGCCCGTGTGACAACAT